GAGGTATATTAAGTTCATACAGGGTTTCCCAAACTTGGATCTCCAGTGCTGTTGGACTACAACTCCCATCCTTCCTAGCTAGCAGGACCAGGGATGATGGGTGTGTAGTCCCAAAACAGCTGGAGACCCAGCTTTGGGAAATCCTAGTTTGGAAGGTCGTGGGCAATGTGGACAAAGCCTTTAAATTCAAAGCATAGGCTTTTCCACTGATTGATGGTCCGTTCTCAACCCATTAGTCTGCTGTACACATGATCATGTTATACTGTTTACCATGAGTGTAGCCAGGGGAGGGCAATAAATTAAAAACACTTAACTAATAGTAGAAATAATCAGAATTATTGAAATTGAAATGCGTGATGTAGTCACTTGTGGCACTTCTAGCAACACAACTGGCAACCCGACTGAGCGATAAGTATAGCTTCTGACCAATCGTGCTTCAGGTAGCTTGGTTCTGAACAGGTGAGTGTTCTGCCCCCCCCCAACTTAAATCCAGCCTATGCCCATGCTGTTCTACTTGCAAATAACCTCTCTGCTGGAGAAAGCAAACACTGAGTTACACACAAAGTGTAGTGTAAGAATTTCTTTGGCCACTTTAACAGGATACGCCCGCTAAGGTGGCATAGAACCAACATGTCCAAAACATCCTGGAAGAAAAAAACCAGGCACCGTTTTTCAGGTATCTCCCCATCTAGTTGCCCTTCAGATGTTTTTGAGTACAGCTCTGATCAAGAACCAGAGAGAAGATTGGTTTGTTGTAACAGGAGTGAGACTAGCTTCCCTGGGCTCACACATACTTACCTCTTCTCCAAAGAAGCTGGGAAATAAGAAGTTCTCTGCAAAAAGTTGGGAAGCTTTGTCTTCCAGTTTCGCTTAACCCCAGTTTAGCTAAGCAATCATTCTCACACTAAGGTGTGGAAATAAATAGTCTCTGCCCACCTGCCACATTGTCCCTGCTCATGGGATGCTGGAGCCTGTGTTAGGGATTGCACATTCAGCCTGTGTGAGGTATTGGCCAGACCTCAAGGGCCTCCACAATTCCCCTACATGAACAATAGAGTCTGCCTGGGGAACATGCTAAATACTCTTTCTGCATCAGCACATTACAGAGGAAAGTTGACTGTTTGTGGGCAAGCTGTCTTTGAAGGAAGCTTGTCTGCTTTACATTTCACTGAGGAAACGCTGATAAGATGCCAAAGCAGCTTGCGGTTTTTCTGGAACAGAACTTGAAAGGCATGTCTACACTTGAGAGGCGCTTCATTTGTGGACACAGAGGGCAAAGAGCACTCCACCCACTGAAAAAACTTTCCAAGCACTGACAAGCAAGATACACACCTCTTCTTCCTCTCAGCAGCAACAAGGTTTGGCTCCCCAGAACCTCCTTCTCAATGCAGGAAAAGAAGCTACCTACTCAATAAAACCTGACCCTTACACGATGGTCCTCTTTCCCTTGCCCTGCTGCAATCAGACACCCATAAATATCCTCCATCCTCAAATCTCCATCCCGTCCAAGCAAAACTACAGCTCCCTTACAGAGCCTTGAAGGAGATCAACAGACCCACAACCT